TAGTATATATATATATATATATATATATATATATATATTTCAACATTTCGACATTTCGTCTCTGTACAATGCGTTTCTACCTGTTTTTTCATTTATTTATTGTTTCTTCTTTTATTTGCTCGATATGGTGATCTGCATGCAGTTTTACGAAACGGATAATGAAAATTATTATATATATATACATTTATGTATGTACAAATAAATAGACACATAGATTACATTGTTTTACAATTAATCAGAGATTTGAGAAAGAGCTTTTACCCTCTTCGAGCCTCACAATCTTTCTCCTCTTTTTCATCTCGATTCGTAAACGATTTTTAAATATTATCGAATATTAGATTTTGAAAGTTTCGTTCTTTCACTCTAATATTCCAGGTATATTCCAGTTTTTCACGATTAAAAAATCCTGTCTATATTCCTTCAAATATGAGCTTTCAGCATCATATCACGCTCGAGGAATACGACATTTGGCGAAAAAGTGGTGAAAAATCGTTTCGAAATTCGTTGATTATTCAACGATAAACTCGAAGTAGCATCGTCTTTCTCATTAGGAACAGGATTTCTTCCTCTTTCTATAGCCTCTTCTGGCATAGTTCAATGGCCGACCAGATTTTTACCTGTGACACAATTGCCTCGACGTGGGCCGGGCACGACGAAATAATCAAGTCCATCTGAAAGCAAACGAAATGAAAAGGGACAAGAATTAGAGGGGGATGGATTCGATGTTCGTGAAATTAGTAAAGCCAAATCTTCGAGGTGGTTTTCTTTTCTTTTTTTTTTTTTTTTAATTTAGCCCAAATTTAACTCTTCTTGAATTAATCTTTAAAAGATAAAATTAATTGGAAAATTATGAATGATTTGTGCGCAAATATTCGAGCCAGATTTCATTCTTGGAATTAGTGAACAACGATTTCTTCAATATTGCTATTATTAAACGATGTTAGTTTAATTAATAGTTTAAATGCCTATTTAATTGGAATCATATTATTAATATCGTATTAATATAAGAAAAATGTAAGAAATTTGAAGAAAACGGGTTAAAAAAAAATGCGTCGAATAATTTATTCGACGAGATTAGTCAGCGAGTCAGCAAGATTGGTCGGAACGACGTCGGTTTTATATACGGTTAAAATATACGCAAATATATAACCATAAATTTTCACAATCTTTCCTCTATAAATCTATTAAAAATTTCATTTTCAATTCGCGAAATTCCCAAAAATAAGCTAAAAAAATCTGTAACGAATAAACAACGAATATCTATCTTGAAAATGATACACTGTTCGTACACTCGTAATAATATAAATGAAATTGGAGAATGAAAATTTTCCAATATGAAATTGAAATATGAAAGTTGTAAAACTTTATCCTCAAACTTGAACCTTGAACCATTTTCCACCCGATTAGCTTGGAAGAAGATTCTCATTATTAAAGTTCCTCAATGAAAACCGACGTCCCTCCACTCCCCTTTTCCAACCCCCTTTTAAAACTCCCTTGATTCGATTCTTAGCCAAGCGTCCAATAATCAAAGTGAAAAGCACGCAAACTCGGCAAATATCTCGCTGATTCCTCTATTGTCTTTTATCTAAATTCTCTCTGGGTTTGTTTCATCGTACCTCTGCATATTTGATATTTCGGATGCTGGTGGACCTACGTTGCCAAACTGTTTAATTCACGCTAGGGTGTACTACGAGATGGTTGTCGCTCGAGTTTCGATACTTCGACTCCTGGAAGGAGTTTCGCGTCCACCTGAATCACGTATTCAAAGCAGAATATCATAATTTCTCGTGGCTAGGTTGGCATGTTGGTCCATGAACGTTCACAAACATTCACGAAAAGAATAATTATTACTATTAAAAATTATTAGTCTCATTTGGAGAGGAGGGAAGTCTTCGTGTTGGATTTAATTTTTTTTTTTTTTTACTTCTCGACGGATTGTTCTGTGCGTGGAAAAGAAAAAAAGAGGGGGAAAAAGGGATGAATTAGTTAGATTTAATTCTTCTTCTTCTTCTTCTTAATCTCTTTAAGAGAAAGGAAGCATCTTCGAAGGATCGAGTTTTATAATTTCTTACAAATTACAAGTTTTTCGTTGAAAAGACAGTTTAACAAATAAAAAGAAAGTTAATGATAAAAATATTCATTCAAGTTTCGGTAACGCGGCGAATGTTTAATCCATGCGAAAATGAAGGATTCGACCACGATTGGAACGGATCCTTAGAACAAATCCGAATTTCCTTCGAAACCAATCCATTTCTCAGCTTCACCCTCTAATTTCCCGAATTCGTAAAACTCGAGCTCGAATCCCCGTAAAATAAAAATCTCGCTGTTTTCTTTACACGCCCTCGCTTTTATTTCATCAAACAAAGATGAGAAGAAAAAAAGAATAACAATTCGCTCGAACCTTTACAGAAGCTTGCTCAGAAAGCGATAACTGAAAAGCAGCGAAAGCTTCGTAACCGCAATAATCGCAAATCAAGAAAAATAATTCTCAGCTGCTCTCTCTCTCTCTCTCTCTCTCTCCCTGGAACAATATTTTCATGATGTCGATCAAGCATTTGACAGATATGTACAGACCATTCGCGGAACAGGTTAAACTGGAGCCAGGATAAACTTTCTTTCTAGGCTCGGAAGCGGAGAGGATAACACTTTTGCTTGGCTACCGTCTCCTCGAATCAAACATATTATTCCATAACAATCTGAAATTTAACACATTGATATTTTTTTTCTGAAACAACAACGATGTTCACACTGTTCAATCGCAAGCCGTTCTCCAGCCGTTAACGAGAGCAGAAGGAAAGAAGAGAAGAGAAGAGAAGAGAAGAGAAAAGAAGAGAAGAGAAGGAAGTGCGTACCTTATACTGGTCGTCCTTGTCTGGCTTAGGCTCGGATGCCTCTTCACCGGCGCCCTGTACCCTCTCCGGGGACAACAGATCCACCAGCTGCCGCAGGCAGCGGCCAGGAAACTCTCCCTGAAGTGTTTCGACATAAATCCATAAACGATTGGATTTATGCAACTGGAACACGTAACGCTCGTTGTTTCTCGTCTCATCCTTTTCACTGTCGTTTACATTCCCGTTCATAAGCGTTCATAGAACCATTTCGAATTTTATCCATCACTTCAAATGGCAAAGAAGAAGATCGATTTCTGCTCTACTCTCGCATTTACTTCGAACGAGAACGAGCGTAAAAGCGTTTCGAAATTATTATAAGAGTTTATTGTTCGTATTACTCAAGGATGGAACGTATATGGAGCACTCATGAACGGCAATGTAGCTCGAGTATGTTAAAAATTATAATATCGTACAGCTCGAGATAAATATAAGAATTGCGTATCGCAATGAAACGAAATTGGGCGAAAGAGAATAATGGGTGTCGGAGATAAAAATGCAAAATAAAGTTATCGAGACGATTTAATTGCGCTCGAATAGCTAAACGGGAACAATTTGCGGTTAAGAACTTTTTTCTTTTCTCCTCCATCGTGAACAACGGAGAAAAAGTTTCGAGATGAAATTAGTTAGGATTCTTAGTTAGGGTGTTAATGTAATAAAGATAATCAAGGGTAATTTTCTCGTGGCACGAATTACACGGACGAATTATTATGTTAACGAAGGATCCTTCGTTAACGTATCGGGAACGATGATTGCGAATTATGATCATCAACGTTGGATTATATCGTGGATAGAAATAAGCGAAATGAAAATCGATAAGATGATGATAAACCTTGTTGGAAATCCTACAAGATTTTATGGAAATTAATTAAATAATAAAATCTGGTGGCACTGTTCCACTCGCAGTACAAATTCAACGTGCAATATTAATTATAGCTTATAGTATTAATTCTCTTTTTTATAAAAGCGTTTACCTTTTACAGCTTGTAAAAATCTTTTAAATTCCTGATTAATATAAGTAGATCAGACTCGATCATTTTGGAGATGAAAAAAGATTGGAAGAAAATATATTTTCGTTCATCTCGATCTTCCCTTATCCTTACGAAAATAGAGGAAATAGCGCAAACATTTACGAGCACTCTCCATCCGTTCATGTTAATACGATGGAGAGAAATTAAACGGAACACTATGTGAAGCTATTCGAGCGCAAAAGTGTCGTTGCAAATTGTATTCTCTGACAAGTTAAATCTAACGAATGCAAAGGGATCGAAAAAGGACGATCTACCTGTTAAAATAAGCCATCAGCTGAAAAGCGGTGTTAAGGTGTTTGTACGTGCCAGCTTTCACGCGTGGCAGGTATCCGTAAGCTGTTAGCATGTTATCCACGAGAATCGGACCCCAGCAAATGACGAACAACACCACCACAGCCACCAACATCTTCACCACCTGTCCAATATAATTTTAATAATTTTGATCTGATCCCAATGGTTGAAACAACCATTATTTGCGTCGAACATCATCATTTTGAATTTTCATCGAATTTCGAAAAAAAAAAAAAAAAGATTCGTAAATTGTTGGCAAATTGTTGAGGATATGGATGGATGGAGCACTTTGGCCTATAAACGGAAAGAAAAGTAACGAAAATCTTCTTTTTAGAAAGTTAGAAATTCAGACCCGTTTCGCTCGTCTCTCTTAATGCAGCAACTTTGCTGAATTATTCCCTCATCCCTTCAACGTGGACCAACTTCATCGATCGATACAAGCGCCAATTGTTTTCGTATAACACGACGAAATAAAAAAAACTTTCTTCTCAACTTGACGCGAATTAATCAAACTCGATCGAAGTTGCGCTGCAATTAAATTTAATTAGGTTCTCTATTCGTTTGCTTTCCCCTTTCCTCCCTTCGTTTGCCGACAATTAATTCGATTCTCGGGTATTACTTATTATTATTAGTCACGAGACAATTCGATACACTGATCCTCTTCATCAAACATCCAAACTTAATATTTCTATTCTGGATCTTTGGAAATAAGTTTTCCAAGTTTTGATACGCAATAATAAACGAATATTTCTTCATGATATTTAAGTAAAAAATTACCCGATTGAGAAAAAAAAAATAGGCGAGAAACGACACTGCATTAGCATAAAGAAAATGATCTCTGTTGCTTTTTTTTTTTTTTTTTTTGATTTGACCCGAAAAACGCTGGTTGAAATGCACAATAATTACCATTCGAACGAGAGCGTCGACGGTATTCCTAGGCAAATTGTCTTTTATGAAACGAAATCGATATCGACCTTTTATAAATTTCAATGGGAACAAGAACTTTTTAGATCGAACGAGCTTCCACTTCGCATCGCGACTTTTCGATTGCTTTCGTTTCGTTTCGTCACGTTAAACATACCGATTTTTTAACCGATTCTCAAGAGTTAAATTTTCCGTGGTAATTTTCCAAATTTATTTTATACACGGAAATCCTTACGAGGAAAGAAAAGATAAAAAATTTTTTAATCTTTATTCCTGAGAATATATCGAAACTTTTTGATATATCAAAAAATTGTTTATTCTTCTCGTAAGTTGAAAAGTGAACGAATTCAGCGAATGGATAATTTAAGAAAGAGATAGGAACACGATGTTTCCACAACTCTTCTCTCCTCTGAATGATTGCTCGATCCAACAAACCTGTCTTATCGTTCGAGACTCTTCTTCGGTTTGATTGTCCTCTCGTTGAGAACGACGATTATTGTTTCGTACGCTATTCCTCTGGGTCATGGGTATGGATTCTGCGTCGACGTTACTTGGATTCAATCTGCAACGTTAAAAGAAAGACAAAACTACATTTTTATATTTCTTCTCAGCAGTAGAAATTTATATTTCCAAAACGAACCCAACTGTCGTAAATTCTACGTAAATTTTATTTATCTACGTAAATACCTGGAAAAGATTTTCTTTCACGATTCGAAATTTCACGATCGAAAACAAGTTGTAATGCAATCCGTTTCTCGCCGATACTTCTCATCAGGGCAGCAAACATCTCTCTTGTAATCAGGCAGATGTAGATGGCGCGTGACTCTACGATCGTTCCAGATCTCAAAATTACCACGGATTTCAAGCGTGAGTTCTAACACTGAATTAAGCCAATCGATAAAGCGACAGGTATAAACGTAACTCCTCCATAGGACACTAAGATACCAGATCGCATCTATGTCTGTGATAATCGATGTTGCGGGTACATGCATACATATATACAGAGACTTGGACAGAGAATGTGTCGATGGATGTGTCGTTGATTTTTACGAGGAGGTGTATCGACGAACTGTATGTGAAAATAAAATTGAACGGAAGGGAAATATGTGTATGAAGTCGAGAAGAGAATGATTGGAGAAGAGAAATCGCTGTGCAAAGAACGTTTAACATTTGTAAAATTTTGCAAGATTTATCTCCACCGGTTTTCTTTAATTAATTCCATTATTAAAGAATTATTATTCTTCCTCTGTTCAAATGTTTAAATTATTTTTCGATTAAAAATTAGAAAGAAAAGCTCGCGAAGATTATTTCTTGACGTTACGAAAACTCAATACGAAAATGAGAATGATAAAATTACATTCGAACGAATACGAATGTGCTTTAATAGAATAAATTCTATCATCGAGATTGCACGAAAAATTAATTCTTACGGTTTCCAAATCCTGTTTCACGAGGATGTTAATCGGCACAATGACTGAATCAAAAGTGCGAGATTATGAGTGATTAAAAAAAAATTTTTTTTTTTTTTAAATTTTCCATTCGGAAAGGGAAGAAAAATTGGTGCAAAAATTTCTTCCTCGTGAAATTATTTCGACGAGAATTCTCTTAATTTGATGAATAATTAAAAATATTTTTCGACATTTTTTAGTCATTACATCATGTCTATCAATTATCTTTCAACCTTGCCGTGTGAAAAATGAAACTTTTTTTATTACCTTGAACGTTTTCTTTCTTATTTTCACTTCCAACAGAGAGGAATTTATTGTATCCATTATAAAAGGTGATTAAGAAATAAGAATTTAAAATTAAGAATAAACGATTTGCAATTAAGATGATTTCTTTCTTCGAAAAAACGTAAATAAATATATACGACGCAGAATTTTTTTTTTTTTTATCTCGCAGTGGAGAACAAGCGAAGATCACTATGCAAATTAGCAGGTAAAATTAAACCTACCTGAGCTTTTTGCTATTCCAATATATTTCTCAATTAAATCTTAATGTCAAACAAGTGAAAAATAATTTCGAGAAAATAATAATCTTACACTTAAACAAAATGCATATTAAAAAATTTAAAACGTTATATCAAAGATTATTAAATCCTTTACTAGAATTTAAATATAAAAATTTTATATATTCTGTAATATTCATTTTAATATGGAGTCTTAAAAAAAAAAAAAAAAGTAGTGTCACAATCACGAGACACGTTTCTTTATTAAATTTTTTATTAAAATCATATTATAAAAAGATGTTTCTTATAAATGCACAACGAGATGTGCATCGATATATATTCATTTACACCAATTTTTCACCAGTTTTCGAAGCATGTTTACCTCTCAATCACAGTCTGACAACTGTAAATTGGCGCGCGTGCGAATTTTCGGCTCTTATACAACACAACGGATAAATCGATATGCAAGATAATATAGGATGAAGAATGGGAAATCGAATTTTAAAGTCGAATCAAAGATATGATTCGTTTTATATTTCTGGATTTACACGAAAATGTAATATTTTCGTTCGTGATATTTAATATTTACTTTTGTCGCTGCATTTTTTGATCCAATAATAAAACTGATATAAAATAAATTTTGTATCAGGAAAAAATATATATCGAATATCCGCATGACTTTGCGATAACATTTTTTCTTCCACTGTGTTTTCTTCCAGAAGAAAATAGAATTTCACGGATTAAAAATATTAAAGCTATAATTTTACGATTTTATTATTATACAATGAGATTATATATAATATTGGGGATTTATAGAAAAATTTTCGATAAAAATAATATGAAAATCGTAAATAATGAATGCAAATTGGAAAAAAGCAAGCGAACGTATCTCTGATGAAATATGAATGAAAAATATATGATGAAAAAACATAAAGAACCAAAAAAAAAAAAATTTCGTTGAATAATAAAACAAGAATAAATAATCCAAAAGATAATATTATGGGATTTAAGTCGGGAGTGCTAAACGATTTAAAATACGATTTATCATGTTAAAAATTCAACAATTAATATATATGCAGATCTCAATTTTTGATGGATTTGAAGATATACGATAAAAACTGTCGATTCGATCGATTACCAGCGGATCACTAAGCCGGCAACGCATTTTTCCCACTTATCTTAATCGCCATTCTTCACTGTCGTAAAACTATGAGCTTCTCTGGAAAATTATTTTCCACGAAAGGAGAAAATAAAATAAATTTCATTGAAATTATCCACCCTTCCCTTCCCTTCCCCACCGTTCGAAACGGACAAATATCGAGAAATTCGTAACGTTAAGATCGGAATATAAAAATAATAAAAGAGAGACTTACACGCGGCGTGATGTCATGTGATATCGCCGCTTCATGACTCGCCAAATCTCCCAGCAAATTGCCGTGTAACAATACGCCATCACGGCTAGGGGTAAGACCAGGACCAACACCAGCATATAAACCTCGTGGGCGCGCCATAAAAGTCCACCTTCGGAATCACGGACGCACCAGTAAGCGATTACCCTCAATCCAACTTCCTTGTGTGTCTGGAAAACAATTTTCCCATTCCGCAAATATTTGCCATTAATATCGCAATATATATAATGATGTTTAACGTTCCAAATATTAGGTAATAATTTTCTTACGAAATATTTTAGACAAGAAATCCGATCGAGACTAAATCGACGCAAAATCAAATTCAATTCGTCGGAAAGAATTTATAACGGAAAACATTTTATCACAGTTCGATAATTTCATCATGTATCGTACTCGTTTTACGAGTTGGCAAAGAGATATTTCGTCAAAGCGACGATCTCGTGTCATTTACATTGGGGAGCAACCCGAGTCGTTTCATCAATTCTTTCGTACCGTATTCCTTGCGTTCAAGCGGAGAGACAAAGATTTGATCGAAACCGGGCTCCCTCTCTCCTTTTTTAATTACGCACAGCGCTCCAAGGTGAAATTCTCTCGTGTCAAAATCGTGTCCACGTTTCGAAAACGTCGATCATTCATTATCGATAGACTGTTGCGTTTCAACCGTCGCTCGAAGCGCATCCAAGCGCAAAGCGGGGCTGCTCTCCTTCTTTCGAACTTGGCGTACGACTTCGATCAATTTTCCATCCACTTCCTCCATCGATCCTTCTTCCAATTCTGAAACGACTAACCTCTCAACGCTCTGATAAGTACGCGTTTCTTGCCGCGAGGGATGCGCGTCGACTTGCCACCACGTTGCACCGCGCATATTTGCACGGACCAGCAATTCCTTTAAATGGGATATTGGAAATCGAAAAACGAGGCAATTTTTCCTCTCGCGACGAGCCAAGATATTGGATAAAAGGGATTGATAACCGATGATGCAATTTCGTACAACAAGATTAAGCCTTCAGTTTTACATCTGGAATTACATCTGCTTATAAACGGAATATAGAACGATATTTGTGAAAAATATCAGCGATTATTTTTCCATGTATACTCGCACGCTGAAAGAAAATTGGCCTACTCTGTTCCTTCGAAATAAGGGAAGCGTACCTGTGTGAAGATCATTGGTATACCGAGAAGGAAGGACGCCACCCAAGTTGTAATTACTATTTTGCGAGCCTGGCTTATCGTGCACGTGTACTGGGCCCGCATAGGGTGAACTATGGCGTAATATCTGAAACACGAGGGGAATTTTTGATTAGTTTGCCGATATTCGCGTGGAACGTATTAACGTTGTAATGAATCCACGCGATCTTCACTCCGGATTATTGAAGCAAACAAATGATATATGAATAATTCTGAACGCGCGAAAGAAGAACGTTTTTACTTTCTTACTAATCCACGTTTCCACGAATGATGTCAAAAGGGCAGATGAGAAAAATGATATGTGAAGAGGGGAGAATTGAAAATTGAGATAAACGAAATCGCAACGAACGTTTTATGGTTATGGTTATTTTTCGATGCGCGCGTTTAACTCGATTCTTTTCTTATTTTACGGGTTATTCTTTCTGTTCAACTCTGTCTGCGCAGTTAACGAAAAGAGATCGCGATTATGATCGTTCGAAGCGCAGCCACGAATACAAAGTGGGTTGACATATGCATATTTCTAGATCCTCTATCGATCAGCGACCTACCCACGTCGTTAAATGCGACCGAATTGAACGCTTCTAAAATTATTTTTCCTTTGATATTTAATTTCCGGTATTTCACGATTCTTACGAAATAATTGTATTAAAGTGGAGATTAAAAATTTCTTTTTACTTATCCTCTCTTATTTATGTGATTTTACAATTCGAGAAAAAAAAATTCGGAAGAATAAGGGATAAAATTTAGCAAGTAAAAAGCAAGGAAATATTTTCGATGAATTCCAACTATCGACTAACTTCGACTAACAAACATCGGCTTAAACATTATATTCCGCCCATATTGTTCCTCGGCGTAATGTTATCAAAATAAATTTCGCATTGAGCTATTGATTATAAATTCAATCGTCGACCATAATTAAATCCAAACCGCTAACAAATAAATCAGCTTTCCAATATGCTTGCTCGCTTAATCATCCTCCTCGTAAATATTTGTCCCTGTGAATATAGAATCGGGGAAAAGATTATTCGACCAGAGAAATTCGGATTCTTCCCCTTTCCTTCTTTTCCACGCATCCTTAATGCGTCCGCTAATAAAAACATATGGACGATCTCTATCTCCCTTCCTCTCGTGGAGATGGTCGCGATAAACTGTGAGAGAAAACGATGGATCGATTTAATATCGCGGGGAGAAAGGTAGACGACGATAAGGCGATTCAATTTCCTTTAGGACGAGATAAATTTTAAATAATAGTTGGATAGGAAATTGTCGGATAATGCGTGCGCGAGGCCTATTTTTATCGGGATCTTTCACGAACGTGATCAGAGAGCTGAAACAACAATTCCTCCATTGTAAATTCTCAAACAAGTTTTCACAGCCTCTGCCATTTTTAATATGGCGGACGATTTCTGGGGGATTAATAAAAGCTTAATACATTTCGGGCTGGACGATCCAATTATTTGTTGCGTTTATGCGTAATGGCTATATTTATCGAACTTTGAGAAACCATATCCGCGTAAATATTTGTATCCTCCATCGTGACCTGATATCATCCATAAATAATTATATATCTTTGCGATAATAAATTATTCGCAAATATTTCTATCGTATAATATTAATTCCTTCGCTTCTATAATGTATTAAAGAATTAGAGAATCGATAAAATTTTCAGGAGTGAAAAAATTGTCAATGTTCGAGCTCGTAAAACCAAATCCAAAGCGCGATAGAAGGAACCTCTACACGAGAGAATTTTATTTTTCAGAATGTTGCTTTTTGTCGTAGTACAAAGTGAACAGTTAAAATTGTCTTCTTTCTTTGAATTCAAACGGGTTTAAAAGTTGTTGCTTTCAATCATTTTGCAGGGACAAGTTCCTTCTTTCTCGACGAGCTTTCAAGAGCATTCATTCCCAAAAAGATAAATAAGGAAGATATTTGCGATTAATTTACTCGATAAATTATCACGCAATCGCTATCGATGAATACAAATAAAATTCGTTATATCTCATCGATGCTGTGCAACAATGGAATACAAAAACTTAGGCCATCTATCGATAAAACGCGGGGATAATTTCTCGCGACGAGAAAATCGAAAGGAATAAAAGGGAAGCTCCTAATCTCGAATCGCTCCCAATCCGATCTGAAATGGGGGATTCGTGGCTACTGTTGCGCCAACTTTCTTCGAAGGGCGTTGAAAAGAGAAAGATGAATTCCGGATGGCCCTCTGTGTTTGGAACCAAAGAATTCTTCTTTAACGTGAAATTGAATGGAAAATTCCTTTGGCTGAGATAGGAACTTGAAGACGACTTTTATGTCGATTACCGCTGTATACATGTACAAATTATGAATAACGCGCCACAGAATGAAAATTTGTTAAAAATTTGTTGGAAATCGTTTTTTCAATGACAGGATAAAATATAAATGATAGAAAGGATGAGTCGAGATAAGAGGGATTAACGAGATTATGTTAAGTAATTAAGATGATGACAGGAAGGACATCAAAGTGATTAATTAATTTTTTCAGTCGGATTTTCAATCTTTTTTACCGTTAAGCAACGCCCAATGAAGAATTCCACCCACGCCACTTTCTTCATAATTAGAAACGCTTCGTCCACTTTCACGACGAATTTTATTATTCGACGAACTTTGCCCCCTCCCCTCCCCCCTTTTTTTCTTTTTTCTTTCTAATATTTCAAAATATTCTCGTTCATTATTTTTCCACCCACTTGCCAACAACACTTCCATCTTTGCGAAATTTAAAATTTTGCGCGCGTGCCATTAATTTCGAGAAAAATATTAGAATTTTTCGGGGACAAAGCGGTCTCGCGATTAAAATTATACTATTATAGCGGAGGAATTGAAGGATTCTGAAAGGAAAGACGTTTTCGCGGTTTATCGAGGGAAAACGTATCCGTGGGCTGAGCTATAAATAAAATTGAATTTCTGAGAACTCGTTTAAGCGCATCAATTAAGCGAAACTGCACGTTCTCGAGCAGTGCTCGGTTCCTCGACTTTTGATTCTTCAACGGCAGATCTCCTTTAAGATTAAAGCGCGTATGTAAGGATGTGAGAATTTTTTTTAAAACTTGCCTTTCTTCCGATACTACGCGTAAAAGACAACTCGCGATAGAAAACACCATAAAAATGGAATAGCATTTTCCCTAGAATATCTCTAAATTTTTTTAAATAGTTGAAATAAGTTTAGAATGATAATAATTTTTTTGGAAATGGAATAGAATTTTCTCTAGAACATTTCTAAATTTTTTTAAATAGTTAAAATAGTTAATGATATCCAATTTAAGGAAAGGAAAAGCATTTCGAATTATTATCATTGGATCGATATCTATCTATCTATCTATCTATCCCTTGATCTATTTTAAATTCGAAAGAAAAGAAAAAGGAAATATTCCACCTTCGATCTACCGCGCGAGCACGGTGCAGATAAATTTATAAAAAAAAATGGCGTAGAACGAGAGCACGTTATAACGTCAGGTTTACCTTTCGATCGACATTGCGGTTAACGTGACGACCGAGCAAATAGCCGAGACGCTCTGCATATAGTGCACCGACTTGCATAGAAACAGGCCCATAGTCCACGTGTATGAGAACAGCTTCGCCACCTGCAACAAATCCATTCGCGACCTGTCAGATTGAATTGCCTCGCACAATCTTTTTATTATACGCATAAAACACACAAGTGAACGATTCGAGACTTCCTGGAAAAATAGTGTAAAATATAAACTTCCCATCCCACGGCACGTTATACAAATATAGCGATAAGGCTGAATCGTAACCAAAATTTGAAAATAAATTTCTCATAAATATTTATGAGACGTCTCGTTTTATTTCGCAATAATTTTTTCATCCATTACACTCCATTTCCAAAAAAAAAAAAAAAAAAAGAAAAACGCGTTTCTTTTCAAAGTTATTGTTTCGCAACGATTATTTCTTAACTTAATATTGCATGCGGTTCCCTGGAATCTAAGAACAAAATTTGATAACAAATTTTAGAGAAAATGGAACGTTATGGCGGCATCGTAACGCTGAATCTTTTTTCTTTTTTCCACAAAATTCGATTACCATAAGATCATAAGGAATTCGTACATTTCGAATATTTGCAAATCGAATATTGTCTCCATTCGAGTTTTCGAAAGAGTACAATATCGATCCAAGAATAAAAATCGCGCGAGACAATGGGGTGTGTATTGAAACGGAAGAGGAAGAGGCGCGATAAAAGAGGCCGAGGAAAATGGTCTCCGAGCTCAAGTCGCTTATTTGGAAAAACGTGTTTAATCAACCTCTTTCGCGGAGCTTTCTTTTCTCTCTCTCTCTCTCTCTCTCTCTCTCAAAGAAGATGGACGTTATATTGAAGTGTGCTCTTTGTACGCGTTAATGAGCGTGGAACGCATCCAACCAGGAGAAATCTCGAACTTCGTAGCTCGGCTACGAAACAACGTTTTTAATCCGTTCCGCGAGCGAAGCTCTAAAATTAAATTATTTAACGAGCAATTATAATATTACGTTGGTAAACATATACCGAATATTGGAGATGGAAATTCGTTTAGGGATGACGAGATTTCAGATTTCAGTGTTCTTCGCGAACTAATATCAATCTTTTATTAAAAAGTCCTATTTATATCCTCGTTATTCGTCTATCGAGCGTTAATAATTGAAGTTAATTCGTGGATTCCGGTAAAAACAAATACAAAAGTATGCGAAAAATTGATCGAAGCTTATATTATTTATTAAATCGTCTTGCCGCTTCTATCGATTCATCGCTCGTGTTTTAATAAATATTTTAAAAATTTGGCCTGCGACAAATAAAACGCACAATCAAAAATAATGAAGAAGCATCGCATAGCTGATAAATTAAACGCGATTTCCTATTAAATCGTCCGAGGAAAATCGTCCAACTAGGGGCACAGCACAGCAATTATGGCAAAAAATAAAAAGAAAAAAAAAAGCAAGAATCGGTTTCGAGATCCCAATCGCTTTAGTTAATCCTCCCCTTAATTCCAACTTGAAACACGATCCACCAACTGGATTAGATTAACTTTTTACAGCGACGGATTTCGACAGAGGACGACGGCTCGAATCGATCGTTGATCGATGATCGATCGCCTGTCAGAGAAATCTTCTTCGTCTCGACGAGTGAAAATTTCTCTATTGGGGAGGAAAACATGCTCGAACACGTCTTTGGCAGAGAGATTCGATAAAAGCAATCAAATCGAGTAAACATCGTGATATTTTCGGCGATGCTTGAAAACACGATTCAAATTTTCGAGCGGAAAATTTCTGAATTGTAGGGAAACACACGAGTTACGCGATAAACAAAGAGATTTCGAGGCAATATTCTCTGTGCGTTCAAGGAAAAAATTTCATTCAAATTTCTGTGTCGCGATTATTTCGCGCCTTCGATATCCCTCTCCACCAGGGATTTAATTAAAAAATGAAAACTATTAAATTGTAAAAAGATAATTCTGAAATAACGATCGCTCCAAAGATGATGAAAAGTAAAATTAAACATTCGATCGGCTAATTTCCGAAATTTAATCCCGTTAATAAGCTTCTCTCTCCCGAACAAACTTTCGGCTCGATTATGATCAACCGTGGAACACGGCCAGCTTCGATCAAAACCACTTTTTTCCTTCTTTTTTTTTTTTCCAGATCTAATCCACCGCGAAACTTCATCGTGACACCAATTTTCTGTGATCGTATTACAATCCAGCTGCGTTCAATTACCACAATCGACTAAACTTTACGCTAATTGCATTAATTTCAATTAGGTGCACGATGCCTGTGTTTCTACGCGTTCGACAAACGTGTGGCATGCTCCCTCGAGCCACGATCTATGCTTTGGCATTTATGCTCCAACGACACGCATTTATATTTTTTTCTCCCAATATTACGGAATTCCTGAATTTTTTATGCTTCCACTCACGCATTAGAAGAAAGTTTCCCCCCTTTGATTTTCTTAATTGAACAAGAAACTTCCCGTATTTTCGATTGTAAAAAAATTTTGTACAACGTTGTATCGGTTTACAGAAAAGGTTCGATCTTGTTTTCTTAAACAAAGCGATTCGAAACATCCATTACTTCCTGCGATCTAATTTGAATAAATACGTTGCCTCGTATTTAATTATTCAAGAAAGTATCGAGAGGAAAGGAAGATCCGAACAACAAGTTGATTCGATTCTCCGCGTGACTCGTTTCTCAATTTGACGAATCCCTTGGAAAAGTGAAATAGTTCCGTACACGATCCAACAACACGTTCACAATTCAATTTACCAATTTTCTCCGTTTGAACCTCTTTCGCAAAGCGTTACATTTCCTTAATAATATCCCTTAATAATTCCCTTAAATAACTTTACAACTTCGAGTCAAGTTGTTAAACTTGAAGCGAAATAAACCTCTGTTGAATTGAGGCAAATATTTAAATTTGCAACGTGTAACATCACCTCGATTCTTCAATTTGATCTCCTTCCCCAATCTTTGGCTCGAGAAGCTATTTTCTCTTTCATCGAGTTCTCTGAATATTTTATCAAATCGTGACGGATAATAGAACAAATTAGATTCGCATACGAAATTGTTGAAAGCGCGTGTTGCAACTGCGTGTGAAAAATACTCTTCGAACGAGAGTTCGCCTTTGATTAAAAAACGTATTTGCCTCGATACGATGAGAAATACGTGAGAGAACTTTCGATGGAAAAAACGTACTCGCGTTGAGCATCTGCTTTAATGGAATGGAAGAGCGTCGTTTTGCGTTTCTCCGAGAAACGTTTAATCTGCATACATTTGCATTCGTGTAATTCGGGATACTTAGCAGCGTGGATTGATGTTATTTTGATGAACCGTTCGAAAAGTTGAAAAGTCGGTCCGTTTGCAACCGAGTTAATAAAGTTTTCCGGGAAAGATCGGCTGGCCAAGCGGATTAATGATCCGATTAAAGAGATTGAACTTTGTCCAGAAGTTGAAAAGCTTTTATTATTTCGCTAGAACTGAAATTCACGAATAAACATGATTAATCTCGCGATTAATAACCTCCGTTCTATTCCACTGTGAATTTATCATCGGTTAAAAAACTTTCGACACGAACGAACGAATTTTCTTTCACATCCAAATAAATACCAATCCATTTTTTTCATCGTAAATTCTTCATTCAAATTCTATATTCCAACAAACGAATTGCAATGATAAGTTTATTTGAATGAACGAACCTATTTAATAACGAGTCTAATTGGAATTGTACGACTCAACGATTTCTGCGCTTACTTAATCAATGTCGTCTGATAATTGCTCGATGATCAGTGTCCTGCGATCAAGCATTAGGAACGTTCACTAATTTCATCGATTAAAATTTGATATGCACATAACGTCGTTCGCATCATCGTCGTGACGGAATCTTCGTAATTCAATAATAATAAAATACGAACATGAATTACGAATGAATCAAACGATTCAACGTCTTTTCAATGGAAATTGTTACAAAAGTCGCCGATCCTTGCTTCGAGTAACCAAACAAATTTAATTAGCAGAATTTTAATCAAAAAGAAGTGTGAACGAAAAATGAATGAAAAAAGAAAACTATTGTTTGCAAAAAAAAAAATTATTTTAAAAAATTGTATAAATTATTTAGAATGATTAATTCATTCAATTAATTCAATAAAATTTAATTTTTTAATTTTAATTGATCATAAATCATTGATATTTATATTAGATATATATATAAATTTAAATGAATTAATAATAAATCGATTTTTTTAATTATTAAAATTAAAATAATTATTATTTTTATAAAAATAAAATCTTTTTCATCAGGAATATTTATTATTATTATTTTGAATCGTATTGATGATTCAGATTTATTAATATATGCTATGTTGCAACACGTTTTGGAAGATGAAATTTAATTTTTTATAACATAGGTGAATTTATAATGACTTTTTTATTAAAAAAAAATAATAATAATAAATCCAATGATCCAACGATTGCCTCATTTGCTTCGTATAGAAATCATTTTGGAAAGTATATAATATAATATATATCATATTTCTCTGACTCTGACAATATATCATACTTTAGGATTCATCCACGAACAATTATATTTCGCGAATAAGAAAAAGGGTCGCGTTGGACCGCGTTGTAAGTTTCGAATAGTGAAGAGGTCCGTAGAGATCGATATACACGCGATAAACTATTATATCTTTTTTTGATCGTACTTGTAAACTGGAGAACAAACGAATCCCTCGACTCGTTGTTATGCAATTCTCTTCACACACGCGAGGAACGACTGGTTGGTGTATAAATGGTTTCTAGAACGAGGAACCAACGTGTACAATATGGGCGCGCAGGTGAATAAATAAACGTAACGGGCAACTATCGATCAGTGCAATCTTGCAAACTTGTTACCGCTGAAACTCGAGATTCCAGTCGTGAAATGAAAATTGCGCTCGGTCACCGTTTTCTTTGAAACGGTGTTGATTCATCGATGTATTATCGAAAATACTGATATAAAATAAACGTAGAGAAAGAGTCTTGTTATTATCTCGAGCTGCGTGAAAGGAAAATCTGGAATACGGAGATAGAATATTCCGAAATTGAGTAAGAATTTCTAATAACG